CTTCAATAAACCTGGACACCAACATTTCTATTGAGAGAGGGTGAAAGGGAATGCTGGGGAGTACTGTGGAGTATTGTTTAGCATACTCGCATTGAATAGGCCCTTCTGTTTTAAGAAGTATTAAATTAAGCAACTGTCCAGCCAGACCATCTTTTCTTCTCTTCCCAGCTAACTACTTGATCCTCTGCACCTCATCATTTACACCCAGTGTACTACTCTGACTCAACTGCCCTGAGAACACAGTCTCATCAGCCAGTACGTCATAGAATCAAAGGATGGTTTGGATTAGGAGGAACCTTAAAGAGCAGCTAGTTCCAAACCCCCTGTAGGGACACCTCCAACCGGACCAGGTTGCCCAAAGCCCAATCCAACCTGGCCTTGAACACTTCCAGGGGCTGGCTATTTGTCTCCTTTCAGATTCAAAACTTAGCATTAGCTATGGCTCCACCTTTTCCAACACTTCTTTCAGCATTCACCTTGCAATTCACGGACATTCAAAAATGCTCTGTCTCACACAGGTCTCTTCCTACTCACCCCAAATCTAAAAATACTACCTTCAGAGTGCTGAATAATTTTAACATGCTCTCAGTTACACTCCAAAAGGAACCTTTTTCCATTTTCATAATATTTGTCTGAAAATCTCACAATCTGTAACACTTCTTGTTTACTGTATGAATAAAGGCTACAACTTCAGAGCAGACAAATACTACATAGGTAGTTGTAACAAAAGTAGATTGTAGTGATAAAAAGAGACAGAGACAGTAAGATTTCTGCATTCTAACTATTGAATTAACGTGATTAGGTACTTTTGTGGGCTGCAAAAGGTTTATGTGCATATTTAGTTAAAATCCCTAATTATTACCCAAAATGTTTCTACAATAATACAATCCTTTCAAAGTTTATACCCTGCTACTGCAACAAATCTGAAGTATATATTTAGATTTTTGTTATAATTCTGCAGTAAATTTTAAGTCCAGAATTAGTCAAACACCATTACTATGTGGTGACAATGCAAAGAAGGCAGCTAAATAATTACTTTAAATTTTCAGTACCCTATCAAAACAGCAGAGAAAAAAACAACCCACATACTGTTCTCTCTGAGCAAACTGTCATACTCACATACTTGATGAAGGGGCACTGATACATTGAGAAGCGTATCATAAGATAGTAAAGTTTGATACTTGATATCTAAAAAGAATGTGAGTGAGAAATATACCACCACCAGTGAGCTCAAAGAAGTAACTTAACCCCCTATACACACATGAACTAGTTTTGTTTCAGAACTCAGGACAAACAGATCTAATATGCTACAGGGAAAGTGGGTAAATATCTTGAATCATGCCCAAAACCCCTACAGCTCCCAGTGCTGACAGCAAGCTTCCACGTGCAGGGCTTCAATAAAACCCTCAGTTTTACAAAATACCAGCATGCAGGTCAGATGCCAAAGTTAAACCCTGGATTAGTCCCGACGGTTCTTGGACTGAGGAGCTACAACAGCAGATATTTTATTCCTCTTGAGGAAAGGCAATCTATTTGTGTCAGCCATCAATTAAGCAAGTTGATAATTTGGTGTTTCTGCTCATGTGCTGTGTAATGTGGTATCAGTAACTACCACTCTCTGCTGTGCCTGGGAAATGGTCTTTACTATAGTCACCTGATGAGAAATGTTATTGCATGCAGATGCACCAGTGTAGGGGGCAGAATGTAAACCACCAGAAAAGTGACAACAGTTAAGGGAGTGCATTAGGGTATGTCTATGGTATGTTGTGATTTGGATCATGAGTGTGCTTTTGCAGTGAATCGTTCCAACACCCCTATTTACTGCACTCTGGCTCTCAATGCAGAAAGGTCTTGCAAAGCACCAACTAGATTCCCATCAGATTAAACTAAACCAGAGGACATGTTCCAGGAGCATGCCCAGCACTCTTCTGCTTCTACTGGGCCTTTGGATCAGCTGGACAGACCACCTGAAAAGCACACAGTGCAGATAACAACTTTTCAGCACCAACTACTTTGTCTACTACTTCCTGAGGGACAGCCCCAAGCTTAGAGGCTCAGCTGGCAAGGACAGTGAAGATGTGGCATTGCAGAGATTATTCTCCCTCAGGCACTCCACCAGAGCTCTGGGTTGGCTTTGAAACCAGTGCCAAACTCCTCTGTAGGTGCTATGCCATATACCCAGAAACACAATGCTGCCGAGTCTAATCCTGAGTATGTTTACAAAACCCACTGTCAGACCCCTGCCTCCAGTGTATCAGTGTCTACTAATTACATTTCTTTCAGATGCTGGCACCTACAAGGCCACCAGTTTCACAACGTGCAAATTTTCTAGGGACTGTGCAGCAACACAGTTTGGGACAAGTCTGGAAAGCAAACTTCATTTTTTAGCAGAGAAGGAAGGAGGTCAAAGTACTTTGCTACACCAGGATCCCTCTTCCCTGTCTCGGCAGGTGATGGCTCGGGAAGGACATCTGCATCCAATGAATCCGTCTGGTGCAGCTCCTGGTTCAAAACCAGGGGTGCTGACATGGGTGCCAAGCAGTGCATCTCTGCTGCTGACAGAAAGGAAACTGTATTACAAGTGCCTTACAGCCTCCCGTTCCTTCTACCCATCACACTAAATATCCCACAGACTAAAGAGCAACGATCCACTTGCAAAATCCCCTGAACATCCACTATTTCGGCTCCTTCACCCACTTGTGGGATCTCTAAGGATGCCTCCCGTGCACACCGACTGGCTGAACTGAACAGCAGGGCTCTGAGCCCCGGCAGCAAGCACCACCAG